CGCTCACAGAGTTTAAAAGCTGAGTGCGGAGAGAAGAGGTACCAGTTTACACACGGGGAACGCAGTTCTCTTAAGGGTCCTCAGCAGGAACCAAGCGGGTGAAGATTTCCGGGAGTGTGGCCTCACTGAGGGGAGAGGTTGCAGGGACAGAGGAGCAAGAAGAACTTAGGATGAGGGAGGGGTGACCCTGGCAGAGTGCATGGCTCACCCTGGGGCCATGTAAGCCCTGTATCTCCAGCCACCATGACGGTTGGCAGCCGTTAGGGCCAGCGGCCCCTGGGAATAGATCTGCCTTTCTTTCAAGGGGTCTAGGGGAGCAGAGCAGAGTGGGAGACCGCCATCCCTGGGGTCACAGTGCAGCCCCAGCGTGTGCCACTGCGGATGTCCTTGGGTTCCTATTGGAGAAAACGTGTCTCCCCCACCCACTTGCCCTTCCTGTCTGTCTACGCCAGGGCAGTGGGGGAGGGGCTCAGCTCCCAGGAGCCCTGTGCTGACGCCGTCCAGAATATTGGGTTTAATGAGCTGCAAAATGAGGAGGCTGCAGCTGACGCGTACGGATGGTGCTCCCACCCGCCTCCTTGCCCAGCGTGTGCCTCTGGCACCCGTCACATCCTTCTCCACACACTTAGCTCATCTTCCTCCAGGATGCCCCCTCATGGTGTCCGTTTCTGGTGGTGGTCAGGAAGCCAAGCACTGGCAGCTGCCATTTCCTGACTCCACAGGTGGTTAGAAACGGAGGACAGGGACGCATACTGGTCTCGAGCAGTCGGTTTCCCCGCTTGTGAATAATCCTAAATAGTGTGTGGCCCTGGGGCCGGCACGGGCACATTTGAGGAAGAAGGGTGAGCGTCGGCGAAGCAGGGTCTGGATGGAGTTGTGGCAGTGGCGTGCCTGTGGGCGTGTGTGCTGGCCAGGAGCCCTAACCGCGTAAATGCCCTCTCCCCAGAGGCAGAGGAGTCCTTCGAGTTTGTGGTGGTGTCCCTCACCGGGCAGACCTGGCACTTCGAGGCCTCCACAGCGGAAGAACGGGAGCTGTGGGTGCAGAGCGTGCAGGCCCAAATCCTCGCCAGCCTGCAGGGCTGTCGCAGCGCCAAGGACAAGGTTGGCACGGGGTGGCAGAGTCTGCTGGGAGAGCCCGGCTCGGGGGAGAGCCAGGGAGGGGACTTGGGACTGATCAACTGCCCTTGTCTCTCCTGCCTCATGGCAGACTCGGCTGGGGAACCAGAACACGGCTCTGGCTGTGCAGGCCGTCCGCACGGTCCGCGGCAACAGCTTCTGTATTGACTGTGAAGCCCCCAGTGAGTACGAGGACAAGAGATCTGGGAGCCAGGTGTCGGGGGCTCAGGTGGCAAGGGGTGGCGGTCAGTGTGCAGGAGGGTGGCCTTCCTCAGTGGCCCTTTCTCTGGGGGCCACCTGCTGCATCCTTCTCCCTCTGCCTGCGTAGATCCAGACTGGGCCAGCCTGAACCTGGGCGCCCTGATGTGTATCGAGTGTTCAGGGATCCACCGACACCTGGGGGCTCACCTGTCCCGGGTCCGCTCCTTGGACCTTGACGACTGGCCGCCTGAACTGCTCGCCGTCATGACCGCAATGGGCAATGCCTTGGCGAACAGTGTCTGGGAGGGGGCTCTGGATGGCTACTCGAAGCCGGGCCCCGAAGCCTGCAGGTAAGCGAGTGCTGTCCAGTGCTGTCCAGGGGGAGACAGCCGGGCCCCCGCTGTGGGGTGGGGAGGACCTGGAGCAGCGGAAGGGTTAAAACACTGTTGCTCTGCTTGGCGGTGGCCTCTGGGGGTGTCCCTCCCCTGCTGGTGCCTGTCACTCAGGCGCCTCACAACAACAGGGCCTTTTCTGAGCCCTTATCGGCAGGTCAGGGGCCAGCAGGAGGCGCATGCGCAGGGCGCATATCACTGTGTGGCTCCTGCGTCCAAGCCCGCATGCTGAGATGGGGAGAATGGGTGGTAGATAGGGTGGCCAGGGCCCCCTCTCAGGCTGTCGCCCGCTTTGTTCCAGTGCTACCAATCGCAGAGTTCAGACGGCTTGATAAGCTGCCACTCAGGCCTGCTTGGAGTCTTCTGCCTCTCTGCCCTCACATCCCTACTGGCCCCAGAGGTCTCCCTTCAGTGTCTCTCCCCTTCTGCTCAATACCACCCCATTTGTGTGCCTCCTGCC